ATTCCTTTGTGTGCCACGAAGTCTCGAGTAATTCCTTTGTGTGCGGTCTGGTTACACTGCCAACGTGGGGGGCACACAAAGGAATTTCTTTTGTGTACGATCCTTTTCGCCGCCCCCACAAGTGCACGCGCAATTCCTTTGAGTAGAGCTTGCTTTCCCGCCTCGAGGAGCGCGCGGGGCCTGGCGCTACAATCGCAAGGCCGCGGCGCCTGGCAGTGCGTTGCAGCTGCGCCGGATACCACGCCCAAAACGATCCTACGTGGATTTCGGCTCTTCTGCCGAAGTTGCGCTGGTTGTTGGCCAGCCACATCGCCGGCCCTGCAGGCCCGCGCGCACTAGTGCGTTCTGCTGCCGCGACGCTTGCTGCTGTCAACGGATGAACAAGCTGAAGTTGCACGGCGGTTTGGTTGTGCCAATCCACCATGGAATTTTGTTGGTAGCGGATATTGGGATCTCGTCGCCGCCGACAGCCTTGCCACACCATACATGTCAACTGCGCCCTAGAGCACGGCCGTGCATCAACCCTGGCTCGGGTCGGTGGGGATCCAGTGGCACGTGTGCACATGCGTTGCACCGCCGGTGGTGCCAAAACCCTTTGTGTGAAATTCCTTTGTGTGTGTTTTTTTTCTGGCCCTACTCCAGGGCGTGCCCAACCCACCTGCAACGCATGGCAGTATCAACTTCGGCCGCGCGCAGAGGGGGTAGTGGGAGGGGGGGAGGCTTCTTAGAAGCACGCCCGCTGCTTTCAGGCCAGCGCCTCCTAAGTGGCAGCCTCCCCCTTCCCCCCTCCCTCTCCCCCTGCCCTCTCCTCCTGAAGAGCCTTCCCCCTTCCCCTACCCCCCTCCTCGCGCCGCCAACAACTGGCCTGTCCGATGTGAACGGATGCATGAGAGAGTCTGTTTTTCCGTGTGAGAGCTCCATGGGTGATTTGCGCATGCCACGCCCCAAGGGATTTGCATGAACGCTTGAAGAGAGGAAGTAGAGGGGAATAGATCAAAGGACGTCAGCAAGGAGGAGGAGGGGGAGGAGGGGGAGAGTAGGAGGAGGAGGAGAAGGAAAAACAGGATGAGGAGGAAGAGGATGAGGAGGAGGAGCAGGAGGAGAGAGGGCGCCTGTATATGAACAGTGAGATAGCATGATCAAGAACAAGCAAATTCACAAGGAGCCAGCAGAGGACGATATGGAGGGCGAGGATGAACGACATGATATCGGTAACGGCGAAGGTGATTTCTTCACATCACCGACGTAACAGCCATGCTGTATTGAGGCTTTACAGAAAAGTCGTAGCCGTAACCTCCAGCGCTCAATGCGCGCGCTGAAAGATCGTTGTCGCGCGGGCGCCACTGTGTGGGCGTGAGCCGGGTAGTGGAGCACATGAGCGCGTTGGCGGATGCGCTGTTGGCTCCTTCGCTTAGTAATCTAGCCGCGCCGAGGTCACGCGCCAACTTCTCTTCCCTTGTCTTACGTTTGTTTATGCACCGGCACTGGACACCAGTAGGCGCGCTGCCGGGTCCGTGGGCGGCCGTTGGGATAGAATTCTCTCTCCCCTGGTCGCGGATCACAGACAGCTCCTCCGACGTCGCGGCCCTGGGAAGCATGACGCGCAGATGTATCCAGAGCCCGTCTAGGTCGTCTGCGCGCTTGTAGCCCACGTCGGCGGTGACCTCGCGGCCACGGGCTCGACCTCACACACGTAGCGGTAATCGTGCAGCTGGCATCGCGTAGGGAGGCGACGTCCCGCTTGGATCTTCGTAGCACGTCGCTCCGGTGGGCTTCCTAGGAACTCACGGAAGTGGGGACGCTTGCGCAGGTGAACAGCACCCAGGGAACTGAGGCTCCATGTGTCCATGTGTGTATGCGCTGGACGTCGCCCTGCTGGACCTCCCAGGAACTCACGAAGGGGGGCGCGGTTGCGCGACTGGCAGCATCCAGGGGGCGAGGTCCCGTTTGGGTCCGCTCAGGGCGTCGCTCTAGTGGGCGCTTTTCGAGCGGGCATGTTGCGATGTTCAGCATCCAAGAAAGCGAGGTCCCACTTGGCTGAAGTAGGAAATCGCAACGCTGAACCATCCTGGACAAACTCAAGTGAGGAGATTAGGCAGTTGTGCGGTCGGAGGCACTCAGGAAGCGCGGTCCCGTTTGGACCTGCTGAGGACGTGACGTTGGTAGGCGCTCTTCGAGCCCAAGAAAGACAGGGACATGTGCACAGTCTTCGGCACACAAGGAAAGGAGGCGCCATTGGTTTTGCTTCAGTCGTCACCCCATTAGATGTCCCAGCGTCTCTCGAAAGGAGGAGGCATATGCGCAATTCGCAACACCCAGGGAGGCGAGGTCCCGTTCGGGTTTGCGTGACGCCACCCCGCTGGATTTCTAGGAGGTCACGAGACTTTGAGCTGTCGAGTGGTTGGCATCACCCATGGAGGGGCGGGGTGCCGTCTGGTTTTGCGCAGGACGGTACCCGCCCACTGACGCAGTCACACTTGCGAGGCTTCACGTTGAGAGCAGGCGTGATGGCGCTGAGCAGCATTCCGTTGCGAACAAGGCCCGCGCGCGCCGCGACGGCCGCGGCCTCGTGCTCTCCGACGCCGGCCACGTGTCGTACCTGAATCCCTGCTGCCTCAGTGGCCGCCCGCCGCCCCGCGCCGGCGGCCCGGGCGCGCGGGCTCATGCTCGGTCTGCTGACGACGCTGCTGCAGCCCGGCTGCGGCTCATATGTTGGCCCGGTGCCGTGCACCGGAACAGGTACGCGGCCGTGTGTGGCTTCCACATCTTCGGCCTGAACATCGTTGAAGAGTACTGGGAGTGCTACCTCTGCGAGCACCGCGGCGACACCAGCTGCATGTCGACGCTCTGGAAGCAGAAGTGCCCCGGCTGGCCCTGCCGCCGCAGTGGCTCGAATGGTGATGGCGGCCCACGGCCGCACGTACGTGTACCGCAGCCCATGGTTGCCTCCTCTTCCTCATCCTCCCCTCCTCCTCCCCCTCCCCCTGCTGCTGTTCTTCTGTGCTAATCGACTGCAACGACCAGGCTGGGGTCACCTTCGATCCGGGTATCGCGGCGGGCCTCACCCTCACCAAGGTTGTTGTTGTTGTTGTTGTTGTTGTTGAACATTATTACTTCTAAAGAATTATTATTGTTGGACCCCCTGGTGCACGCCCCCCGCCCAAAACCTAGGCCGCAGCTACATTTTCATCATTTTTCTGCGAAAGCTTCAGAAAAGTGGATTACCCCCGGATCCGGTTTTTTGTTGACGCTCGTTTTCCCTTGCAAAAAACAATAGAAAATGAAAATTCTTGTTCTTAGTTGATCAAATTTCAAGAATCCCTTGCAAAAAATAAGGTAAAGTGGACATTCGCGCTCGCAAGACGAAATCCTTCCAAAACCTTAGGTTTCGTAGCGATTTTAACATAAAAACATCAAAAACCCAATGGTTTTTTAAGAAAAAATTGTCAAAATGTCCTTCCGCGCGCTCTTGCGGATTCATAGGAAACACACCACTTTTTAAACATTTCTGTCAAAAGGGTCTTTGCGTGCTACTTCTTCAGGTGCTTTGAACTTCTCCAACAACGGTTGCGCGCCTGCGAGGGCCACCATCCCTTGCAAAAAATGAGACGAAGTGCACATGCGCGCGGCCGCCGCGCGCGCATGTCGAAATCCTGCCAAACACAATGGGGTTTTCACTACTTTCTCTCCTTTCCTCCTTGTCCTGCTCCTCCTCCCCCTCTTCCGCCTTGGAGCCGTATTGGAACTGTCGATGGCCATCTCCCTTTCTCCCTCGCATGTCTGCTTGTACATACGTATAATTTCAGAACTTACCGTGCATGCGATCGTTTACAACATGGTGGACCGTGCGTATGTCACGAACCTTGTATACATGTGTTTCTCTCCCTCCGTCTGGCTGTGCACGCGCGCGTTGGGCACTGAGAGTTAGGATCATAGCGCCATGAGTCTATGAGCAATGCATGCGTCATCCTTGGGACTGTATAACATCAGTGTAACACATGTACTTCTGTAATCGCATCCCCACGAATTTGCCCCAAAAATGTGACCAACTATCTTGGCACTGCGTACCATCTCACGTGTACCGTGTACCACATCATATGTAACAGATGTGATCAACCTCTGTGGGTGTGTACCCCACGCCAGTGTAGTAGCCAGGGTCGTCCGCACGCCACGAAGTGAAGTGTCCCAACGTCATAGGGCGGGAAGCTGGGTGTGGGTGGTCTCGAAGAGTCGTTTGGATATTTGGTAGAGCTTGAACGGCCCCCCCACGAAGTGGGGGTATTGGCTGGTGTCGCAAGAAAACCCTGGCACTGGGGAGAACACTGAGCGTTCGGGTAAAATGATTGTTGTTGTTGTTGTTGTTGTTGTTGTTTGCGCAGGACGGTACCTCTCTGGACTTCACGGGGATCTGTGAAACTTGCGACAACTCTGAGTTGGCAGCAACCGCAGGAGGCGAGGTCTTGTTTTGGTCTGCGGAGGACGTCAACACGTTGGACTTCCCCAGGATTTCTGTAAATCGCCTGCGCACTTGGCAGCTTTCAGGGGATTGGCGAAGGACGCATGTAGAAGGCAACAAAGGAGGATGGACAAGGTGGTAGCGGAAAAGGAGGAGGAGGTGGAGCATGAGGAGGAGGGCGAGGAGCAGGCAGAAGAGGAGGACGAATCAGCAGCGGTGGACTACACACAAACACAGGAGCCTTGGGAAAGGGAATGAGGAGACGCGAGGAGAAGGAGACGCGAGGAGAAGGAGAAGGACGAGAAGGAGGAGGAGGAAGAGGAGGAGGAGGAGGAGGAGGAGGAGGAGAAGGGACGAGTGCAGGAGAGAACGGGCTGGCACAGGAGAAAAGCAACAGGGTGGTATCCACAAGCTCCACTCTGGCGGGCTCCCCATCGCAACTCCACCGATGACGGTCCCCTGGCCCGAGGCGGGGCCCTGAAGGCCGACGTGGAGGAGCAAATCTCCGGCGCGACCCTTCTACCCCCCCTGGCGCGCCGCGAAGGTCAAGCTGCCCCCGGGCCTCAGCCCTCCGGATGTCGCACCTCCGGTGGCCCGCGACGCCAGCGAGGGCCCCCCCGCGGACAAGACGAGCCTGCACGAGATGCTGAAGACCTACTTCGGCCGGCCCGACCCCGCCTGGTCGGTCGGGGAG